TCTAACAACCGTAGTCTACTACGCTAGTGATGCAGGCAAGGTATAATTGTCTAAAGGCTCTAGGTGATAGGCCTTTATTGCTGTTTGCTAGTCTGCTTAGCCAAGTAAAGGCTTAGTTTGCCTGTTGATTTCTAATAAAGCAGTGATCCTTGAACTTAAGGGCTTTATCAAAGTACATACCTAGCCATCTAATTTGCTATTTTAGTTAAAAGATCTCCTAGGTGGGTAGTGTGAGAGAATCTTGATCCTTTTTTAATCTAGTCTAATTTACTAGTTCAGTCTTTAAGCTGTTAAATTTAATTACTAGTGTAACGATGTTACAACTTCGCCAAGTATTGAGCCAATCCCAGAGCCAGATCGGAGGAAGTACCTGCCGCCCTTCATCAGCCATTCGCCCGAGGTCGGATCCGAATTCGGACCCGACTAGGATAGGTATATATTGAGACACTCCCTGTAGCTAGCTCTATAGACTTTTGATATCCTTTCGTACAAGGCCTATAGGTGGCTTGTTGAATCTAGGCTCTTTGTGATCCCACGCACTCCCATATGCCTCTGAGTGATCCTACAACCGAAACAGATCCGACCTGCCTTACCTGCGCCGTTACAACTAGCTCCTCTGCCAGATTAAAGAGTTTTTAGGTCTCTTTTTCTAGTAATTTGACGTTTTTCTTAATAGATGTTGTAGATACTGATATCTGTAAGTTATCTATCTAAGAAGAGGAGTAGATATTTCTATTTATTATAATTAACTAAAATAGTAGTTTTATGTAGATTAGAAATAGGATTGGAGAAGTAGGGCTGCCTTAGGGTGTACTAGTGTTTACCTCCTGTACATCTTCTACTTGGCCATTAAAGGATAGCTCTAGTAGTCTGTTTTCTAGAAAGGATTTAGTCCAGGATAGTAGGTAGCAGGGAAGTCCTTAATCCTTTCTATTTTCTAGTAGCTTGTTTTTAGCCACGTGATTAAAGGCTCCTTTTATGTCTAGAAATATAGTTATAGTGGTCCTATGCTTCTTTTTCTACTGCTATATATTATTATAGAATAGGAGAGCGGCGTTAATTGCTAATTTTTTTAATCTCCCGCCTAACTAGGTAGGGTGGAGTAAGTCTGTTGTTTCTGCTAGTGCTCCTAATCGTCTTGCAAATAGTCTTTCTAGTACTTTCCTTAGGTAGCTTAAGAGTGAGATAACTCTATAGGCCTTTAGGATAGAGTAGTCTAGCTTTCTAGGTTTCTTTAAAATAACCCCTTTAGCTTTTCTCTAGCACTTTAGTTAGCAGCTAAAATTAAATACAGCTAAGTATATCTTAAAGAGTAATTCTAGCTGTGCCTAATAGACTTTTTAGACTATATCCTAGCTAATTAAATCTAGTCCTAGCGAGGTAGCTTTTACGCTTATGCAGGCGAATTCAAGCTCTTCTTTTATTAAAGCTAGCCACTCCTATCTACTATCTCCTTTGTAGGTATTTAGTAGTAGGGCTAGAGTAGATAGTGGTAGGGGGAAGAGATCTTCTCTAAAGGCTTACCATTTTTCTTCAAAGGTCTGCTTGCCTTTAATAGTAGGTATCCTTATAGATAGCTTGTCTTTTATGTAGCCCATAGCTTTAAATATCTCTTTTAGTGTCTTCTTATGTAGAAAGGTTTCCTAGTAGTTCAGCTTTGCTTTTTTAATAGCTTTTAGATATCGATATTTTGCAATAAGATACTCTTTTTTCTACTAGTTAATTTAGCTATTGTCCTCTCTACTAGCTTCTCTTTTTAGGAATTAAGAAGCTCTGTTTTAATCTAACTTTAGGTGATCTAGCACACTAGTCTACTAAGGTTTTGGCTTTAGTTTCTAGCTAACTAGTGG